GACTGTCTATTGAACATGATGAGAAGAAAAAGATCAACTGTGACAAAATCATTGTCAAATTTGCAGACATTAAGACTCAAAAACAGAAAGTAGACTATAATGTTATTATCCATTACTGTGAAAAATGGATATGTTGGTATAAATATTTCCCTTGTTGTTGAAAAGATACATTAATATCATGAAAGCTTTAATCCATCACTTTTTCCTTTTTTGCACTGTTTATTTAATATATTCGCTTTTTTTACTGGCATGATTGTGTAGATGAAATTCAGTGAAAGAACATTTTTGTTGCTTGCTTTTCTTTTCAGGCCATTGTCGTCACTGAACATATCTTGGTCCTGTGGAGGAGGGGGATTTAGAAGGATCAGGTGTCCAGTCCTCTGGCTGTCAGTGTGTAGGAAAGGCCCGTGTATAGCGGGGGACGCCATGGGCTGCCATCCCAGGATGGTGAGCGACTGGACCGGGTGGTGGAGGAGGGCACCCAGCTTCCCCAGCAGACCAAGAACTACTTCCTCCAGCCCCGGTCAGCTGCAGAAGACTAGGCCACCTAGAGCGAGGGTGTTGGCAGATGGCCACCATGAGGAGGGAGGCCAGCTGGAGAGGGTGGGGCTGACAGGGATGGGCCTGGGGTCTGGGGAAGCAAGGAAGGATGTGGATGGGTGGCAGGAGCAGGGTCAGAGATCCTAGTTGGGCTGAAGAATGCTGGGATCCTGGACCAGGGGTAGGGCTGGCCAGATAGGAGCCCTGTTGTGGACAGCAGTGGTGGGCCCTGGAGTGCTGGCTATGGCAGGGTGGAGGGGAGACCCTGGGAGGGTCACCTGGAGCTTCCTGGACACGGGGATGTGGACCTTGGCCAGATGACCAACTTGCTGGGTCCGAGTGTGAGCAGAGGCATCTAGAGTTTGTGGGTTTGAAGTGAGTCAGTGGGAGCAAAGTCCCTGTAGGGAGCAGGTGCGCGGGATGGTCAGGGCCAGGGGTCTCGCAGGCTAGGGTGGCAGCTCCCACTGTGGCCGGCAGATGGCGCACGTGGACCTGCCGCTGAACCAGGAGGGAGGGGGGGCGGGAGGGCAGCAGATCCAGCTCCAAAGGCACCCCCTGGGACCTGAACTCTCTCCTGCCATTTGTTGCCCACTCATGCCTTCATCCATCCAACAAGAACGAGCCAGAAACTGGGCCCCGAATGAGGCCACAGGGGCTGCTGCCCACATCTGGGGGAGGACACTCGCACACAAACCAATTCTAGTCACATGGGGCATGGGGAGGAGAAGCCACATAACACATGGCCACCAGGAGAGAGACCTCTATCCGAGACCCTCAGACCTGCAGAGGGCCCAGGCCGTGCCACGTGCCTGGGGGACGGAGGGAGCTGGTCCAGGTGAGGGCCTGGCTGGTACAAAGACCCTGGGGCAAGGCCATCTGGGGAGCAGAGGCTGGGGATGGCCAGGGCAGCCTGGGTACATTTAATTCTGCATGTGAGGCTGTCACCCAGACCTTTGGCTCTGGGATATGGGTGGCATTTGTGTTCTGAGGTTGGCTGAAGGGAGGCAGGTGTTAAATTGAGTAGGGAATCTCAGCTGGGCTTGTCTATGGTGGGGGAATTTGGGGTAATCTTTACTTTCTTCTTGGTACTTTTCTGTGTTTTCCAGAGCTTCCAAAGTGACCTTCTGTTGCTGAAAACACAAACGTTTTTGAATCGGTAATATCATCAGGTGGTTTTAAAAGTGTGAGATGGTGTACCATGAATGTGTCCCCTCCCCACCACTTTTATTACTTTCTTGTGTATCCTTCCTGAGTCTATGGAGAATATACACGGATATGAAAACCCAGTCTTCTCTGCCTTTGCTTATAGAGCATGCCACATTCTGTGCAGGCCAGTCACAACTGTGCTTGCTTCATGATGTTTGGGGCTCAGCATGGGCTCACCTTGCTGGCTGGGGGCCTCCTGGCTGGGGGCCAGCCCTGGGCTGACCCTTCAGATGTGGCTTCACTTCCTCCTCCCTGTGGTTCTGAGACGCCCCAGAAGGATGAGACTGTCCCCACCTCCGGCGTCAGGGCCTCACCACTGTGTCTTTCTCCGTTCCTTGGGGGTTGCCCTGGTGGAGAGACCACGGTGGCTGTGCACTTTCAGAGTGAGGGAAGGCAGAGTGTGGGGGGGAGCCCCTCCTGGCTGGCGCCTGTTCAGGGGAATTCTGGTGCAGAACTGGCGGCCAGCCTTTCTGGAAATGCATCCATCAGGTGACTGCAGAGTGAGAGCAAAACCGGCTTCTTTCAAGAGCCGCAGCCCAGGGTTGTCCTTCAAATGTCTGAAAAGCGAGCAGAGAAGGAGTGAGCTCTTGGGAGAAGAAGCCGGTTGTATTTGGTGAGGTGGCCCCGCCTTGGGAGGCTGGCTCTGTCAAGCGCCGGCCCCTCCTCTGGGGATGGCACTAGGCACATGAGGGGCCTCCCATGTCCGGGGTCCTGAGTGGGAGCCCAGGTCAGCCTTCCGGCCTCCTGGCCCTGTGTGCAAGCTGGCGTCTGTGCTCCCAAAGGCCTGAGTAAGTGAAGGACGTGAGGTGAGGGCCTCTAGGGACCGGCCACGCCTGTGGGGATCGGAGGTGCCACTAGCGTTCGGAAGTGTCCTCTGGGGCACAGATGACACATGACAAAGGAAAACAAAGGGGAGGTGGTAAGCTGCTTGCCTTCGGGAGCCTTCGGGCAGAGTGGGTGGCAGTGGCAGCTGCCCCCCAGTGGTCTGTGGGCCCAGCGGGCAGCTGATGGGGTCTCTCCGGTCCTGCTGAGCGTGTGAGCAGCAGGCGTCCACTGCAGCATCGGGCCCAACCTGCAGCCAGGCCCATGCCTCTCTCTGGGGGTGCTGAGGCCCAGGACAGCGGCTCCAGGTCCGAACTGTCTGTGCCCTCTGCTGCCCCCGAGACCTTGGCCCCCGGGGAGTGGGAGGAGGATGTGGTCCCTCCCGGGTCTGCTCAGGGCTGTCCCAGGCCCTCCCTGGCCCCTCCCCACCATGGCTGTCTCTGCAGTCTGAGTTTTGCTTTCTTTTTGGCAGGAAGGAACCTGAGTGGGAATCCCCTGAGCTGCCCGACAACCAGAGTGAGTCACCCCTTCCAGCCTGCTAGGACCGAGGTGTCACCCCTTCCAAGCTGGTGGGCAGCGGTTGGCCACTTCCCCGTCAGGGCCACTGGACCACGGCTCCCTCTCCCTCTGTTCCCAACTCTGTGTGCCTCTCAGGCCTGTCGTCAGAATCAAATTTAAAAAAAAAGAAATGTGTGCTTGAAAATCCTCTGAAAGCAGCAAAGTCTAAAATCTATGAAAGCATTTTCATGCTCAAAGTGTTGGCAAGTACTTCGAGATTAGCCAGCCCTGTCAGTGCCAAGGGCTGCGGGCGGCTACCTTCCCAGGAGCAAGAGCTTCGTTCAGGAAATCTTTTCTGGATGCGGGGCGTGGCTGAGGTGGCCCCGAGCCAGTGCTTCGGCACTGTTCCTGATCCTGGGAGAGTGAAACTCTTCCTGATGTTCCCTGGGAGTTGTGGTAGAAGGCAAGTGAACGACTTCCTGATTTTCCCCTGAAGGAAGTGGGGTGCACTGCTGCAGGTGAATCTCCTCTTGCAACAAGAACCATTTCCTGCTGAGCTGCTGGTGGGTTCACAGGCCTCCCAGACTCTGGGAGGAGAAACCTCCTCACATCTGACAGCTTGCTTAGGTCTGGGGCTTGAGTGAAACTTCAGTGAAGCTGTAGGTGGGGACTGGGGAGGTTTCCAAGGTTGCTTGTGGCAAACTCAGCCTCGAAGTTCATGGACCTTCTATCAGAGGCAGGGCGGCCTTGCTGCTGTATCCCTTGGGAATTCTGACTGACCAAGTAATGACTTATGCAGCATGTTGCGAGAAACTCTGGACACAGCGTGGATGGTTTAAATCATGTAACTTCAAAGCCTGCCTGTTTTTTGGTTTACTCCATCCTTGAACAGTGCCCATTGCATCAAATGATCTCACTGGAGTGGAGGTGCTGAATGTGCCATGACCTGGGGTAAGGAATCTTGCCTCCCTGAGCCTCCATTTCCTTCTCCGCAAAATGAGACAGCAGTCCCCATCTCCGGACACTAGTATGAGACGAGATGCTGTTTGTCAGACGTTTAGCTAAGCTCGTGTTCAACGAGAGATAATCCATTTTGTTCTGACTCTTGTTTGGCAGATAAGGAAACAGACTTGCCTCAGGCACCCACTTAGTGGCAGTGATGGGGTCAACACTCGGCCCTCCCAGTGGTGCCCCCTTTTTTCTGGCCAAGACTACTGCTTCGTTTCTAGATGTTTCCATTTGCGTGTTCCACATTTCCATGTGTCTGGAGACCACAGGTTGCGCATTTTTGGTTTTGTTTGGTGGTAAAATCCACATAACATAAAATTCACCATTTAAACCATTTAAAAGCCTACAATTCAGCGTCATTTGTACATTCACGGTGTCTGGCAATCATCACCACTGTCTAGTTCTAGAACATTTCACTACCTGGAAAGGAGACCTCGCACGCCTTCCCCGCCTCGAAGTGAGCGGGGTTTTTTGCTACTTTTTCTTATAAATGTAACCCACACTGGGGCCCTGCTCTGAGCCGGGCGCTGGGAGAGGAAGGCGCCGCCGCGGTGCCCTGGGCCAGGGGCTGACCCTTCGTGGGAGGTTCTCGGCAGGTAAGGAGCAGCGAAGGCTTTGCTGTGGCTGGCTATCCCGCTCTCTCCCGGCACCTGCAGCAGACAGAGCTTCCCGGCCACAGAGCCGCGCCAGTGTCCGGCGAGCCGCGCCAGTGTCCGGCGAGCTCCGCCACAAAACCGGTGGACGACTTAAGTAGTCACGCCGCGGCAGCTTTGACCAATCGGCGCCCGCTACGGTTCCCTGCGCGCTCCTGGTAGGCCCCCGCGTCAGTCCGTCAGGCGGGCTGGGAGACAGGGGGGCGGGGGGGAACCTGACCATTCGGCGCCCGCTGCGGCTCCCTGCGCACTTCTGGTAGGCCCCCGCTTCCGTCCGTCAGGCGGGCTCGGGGGCGGGTCCGCGGTGGTGGCGGCGGCTGGGCGGGCGCGCAGTTCCGGGCGCGCGGCGACCGTTGGTGAGTCCGGCCGGGGGGTCGCGGTCAGGGTTGGGTCCGCGTGGGGGTCGAGGTCGGGGGTCGGGGTCGTGGTCGAGGGTTGGGGCGGGGGACGGGGCCAGAGGCGCGCGGCGCGGGGGAGGCAGGGCCGCCGCCGCCTGCGGGCCTGAGGGGATTTCTGGGAGCGGGGGAGCCGGAAACTGAAAGTCGGAGGGCGGCCGGCGCAGGAAAGTTCGCGAACGCCCGCGGGCGCCCACGGCGGCTCCGGCGAGGGGGTCCCGGCCTGGGTCACAGTGCGGGGTCACAACGCGCGTCCACCTCGGAGGGTCCAGGGCGCGGGGTCCACGTTGAGGTCATGATCTGCTGTCTCCAGCCGGGGTCGCAGCGCCCCCGCCCCAGCCCGGCTGCCCCGAGCCTCGAGGGCGGCTTGTGGGCGCCTCACCCCCGCCCTGACCCCAGCTGTGGGCTCGCCTGAGCCCGTCTGACCTGCTTCGGACCTGGACGAGCTCCCCGAGCGTCGCGGGCGGCGCCGGACCTCCGCGGTCCCCTGCAGCTTGGCCCCGAGGCCCCAGGGCCCGCCCGCGGTGGCCCTGCCTCTCTTGGCTCCCGCGTCCCCCGACGCCCTCCTGCCTTTCAGGGTTTCAGCTCCCCTGCCCCTGTTCTCAGCCCCCGCCCCGTCCCCAGAAGCGGTTCCTGGTCGGGTGATCGCGTTAGGGTGCCCTCGTGTCGGCCTCCAGCCGCGCCCCTTTGGCGTGGGGAGCTGTGAGCCGAGGCTGGGATGTGGTCCGTGCCTCACGGCGTGAGGCTGGTGCGGGCTTCCACGGTGAACACGAGGCCCGAGATCGCTGGTGAGGACGTGAAGTTGCTGGAACACCCAGGGGCCTCGCGATGGGATCCGGAGTGGAGGCAGCTGTGGGACTGCGGGAGCCTGGAGTGGGGCAACCCAGAAAAGCTCTGTGTCTGTCCAGGGCCGAGAGGCTCCCTGGACACAGAGCAGGGTCGTTGACCGTGACAGTGGAGAGCCCAAGACATCTGCGCCTGCTTGTGAGGGCAGACGCTCTGCCTTTGCCTGGGTCTGGGGGTGCTCGAGGGGCCTGATTCCCAGCCCACGGCAGAGGTGCACAGAGGTCACGCCTGGCCTTGCTTGACCCGGCCCGCGTGTCACCTTTGAGGACAGCGGTGTTTAGCAACTTGGTTACTGGTTTTAGGTGAAAGTCCCAACCAACCCAAGATTGTTGCTTGAGTTTGTTTTTTAAACTACTTTATTGTGGTGTAACTTACATACCACAAAATTCAATATTGCTTGAATTTCACACACACAAGAACTGAAGAATTCCTTTCCCTAAAGCTTTTTTGGAGCAGCAGCAGCAGTGCTCGGAGCTTCCAGCAGTAGTCTCTTCACGTATTTGAGCAGCTGCTCTCCTGTCTCCTGCCCCTAGCCTGCCTTCTCCCCCTCCTGCAGCCCCCTTGCCCTCAGGATAGAGCCCAGCCACCTTGAGGCTCCCAGGGGCATGTGCTGTGACATTGGGCCTCTGTGCTCGCTGGTCATGTTGCCTGGGACAACCCTGCAGGCGCCTCTCGACACGCCCAGCCTGCGCCACATGCCCTTCCAGCGTCCCTCTGCATCCCAGACCTCTGCCACCCGAGGCTGCGTTGTGCCCTGTGGCCCCGGCCTGTTGACTGCATTGACAGTAATGCCTCCGTCTCCTCAGCACCATGCATGGTCCACAGCAGGAGCCCAGAAACGTCCCTGTGGTGCAGTGAGTGGAGTGAAGGAGGTGTGTGAGCCTCACAGGGGGCTGCAGGGATGCAGGGTGAGGGGCTTTCAGCTGAGGGTTCTCTCTCTTAAGGAGTTTTTAAACTTAGTAGGGAAGTCAACTGGAGTGTCATTCCTCTGGGGACCTGAGGGAATAGGTTATTTCAACAGTGGTTGTAATTTGGAGACTAGAACACAGGGTTTACAGTGATCACTTGTTGCTGGAGAAAGCGTTTCTCCAGGAAGAAAAAGGTCTTTTCGCTTTGTGTTCTGAGAGTCAGGTTTGGGCCTTCTCTCTGGAAGTGGGGACGCCAGCCTGCCCACCTGCATGGGGGGTGCGCTGACTGAGTGCGGCCTGGCAGGTGGGCTTTCATGGCTGGACAGTGTGAGCGGTGTGAGCTCGCACAGGCAGGGCAGGAAAGTCTAGACGGGGGTGCGCACCTTCTTCTATCAGTTCTCATGTCCTCCCGGGCTGCGCTGGGCTTACTACTTATGGAGACTGAGACGGGTGAGGACGGGTCCCTAAAGATCTGGGTGTGTGTCCATAGGGAGGACATGTCACTGTCTGAGCACAGTGCCCCACCCCTGCCCAGAGGGGCTGAGCCTGGGTGGGAGGGGAGGAGGCTCCGCAGAAGCTGTCCTCAGGGTCGGAGCTGTGAGAGGCCCAGCTCCAAGCGGGGTTGAGACCACATCCCTGGCAGGGCCCAGCAGGCAGTAGAGATGGCAGGTGGGGCAGGTGGTTTTGTGGACTGGTTGTGATTTAGGGAGGTGAATACACAGCAGGGGTTGGGGTAGGAGGTAGAGTAGAGGGAGTGACTCAGGTAGAAGGAAGAGCTGGCTCAGGTTCCAGGATCGGGCTGCCGCTTTGGAGCAGGGTGGGGCACAGCTGGTCCAATGGTGTGGCATCGAGGAAGGGCCTGATTACAGGGCGTAGGAGTCAGTGGATGGGGCCGGGAGCCTGGGGAGCAGGTAGGGTGCTCATGCACCCCGTGCACAGGCCTGGGTCCCTCCTCCCGCTCTCCTGGAGCATACATTCTAGAGGGGCAGGCCCGCAAAATCATAATACCAAGGAGAACAGAGAGCGGGTGAGGTGGTGAGCTGGGCCATGGCGGGAAAGAGGGCCAGCACAGTGCAGTTTTAAGGAAGATTGCCAGGGAAGTCCTCCTCAGGTGGGTGGGGTGGGGGTGGGGACAGGTGGAGTTCAGGAGGGCGGAGCAGCCTGGGAGCCCTGGGGGTCTGAAGGAGGAGCCACTGAGTCCCAGTTGCATGTTAAGGCTCCCTCTGGCTGCCTGGAGGCCTGTGAGAGGCAGTGCAGAGTCAGGTCACAGTGGACGGCTGCCAGGACCTGGCAGTAGTAGTGTGGTCAGATTCCGGATGTTTGTAGAAGGTAGAGCCAGTGGAGTTACCCACGCCTTAAGAGGTGGGTGGATGAGAGAGAGCAGTCTCCAAGAATTTGGCCTGAGCAGGTGAAGGGGGGGGGGCGCCCAGCTCCAGCGAGCTTTCTGCAGGGCAGTGAGACGTGCACCCGGCCCTGGGCACCCACACTCAGAGGTCAGGGCTATGGGCCAGGGGAGCAGGTGTTCGTGTGGGTCTCGTGAGACGAAGTTGAGACTTCGAAGGGAATAGAATGGCTGCATTGTAATTACTTGGTCTCTCCCTATTCACCGCCCTGGTCTTTAATAAGAGAAACTAAATATGTTGATTGTATGGGTAAATATGAGGCAGCCCGTAAGACTGGAAAAATCCTTGCCAACAGTATTTGCTTACGATGCTTTAGTGTAAACGGTTGTTGGGTGTTAAGTTGGTACCACGCTACTATTGGCATTACGTTGAGCTTGAAAAAAGATGGACTTTAGTATGAAATTATAATTTTAAAGTGGATTTCTAGTCCTGGGGAGGTCTCATACTCCTGGCTGTGTGCAGATTAAAGTTCTTGAATATTGCTTAAATAGGCCTGTTACACAGGTGGGTTAGAACTGCGTGGAACCAAGTGAAATCTGACGTGGAATCCCAATATCATACAGAATAGAAGTGGGCTGTCAGTGGGAGCATGAATTTGGGAAGTTCGGTCCCTGGCATTTGGGGGCATCATAGGGTGAGGCCCCCAGGTTGAACCACTGTGTCTGCTGGCAGCACGGTGACCCCCCTGCAACTGGGTGCTCCAGTATCTGATTTGACATCGGTTTGTTGTGACAATACAGCCTCCCCTCTTGAGAATTATTCTCCGACACCGCTAATCCACACTCACACACCAGACTGAGGATGGTGGAGACGCTGTCCTGTGGTCTCCAGCTCAGTTGGTGTCTCTGATTTCTTGCGGGGATGGCCTTTCCCAGGTCCTCCTCCTCTGCACTCAGGCAGGACCTGGGCTTGTGACGGGGATGTGCAGCCCAGCTTCACCTGCAGTGAAGGAAATGGCTGAACAGCAGTGGGGTGCTGGATGCCCCCTACTCTCCTAGGGTGGGGAGGCGGGAGTGAGCTGTGGCCTCACCTGGGAGGCTACTTTCATGTCAGAACCTATTTTTGAGGTTGCTCTCCTATTTTTAACATTATGAGGCAGGGTTATTTTGGATAAACATGCACGGGTATATCATAATTAGGGATTTCGCCATCTATTTTGAGTCTTTGGGAATAGAAACTCCATCTTTCTCTTTTTAAATTGAGGGGTACCTACAGCAAAATGTACAAATCCTAAGTGTACAGCCAGATTCTGTTTTGTCCATGTATACACTCATTTCCAGCACCCCAGAAGGCCTCCTCATGCCCCTTGCAGGCAACATTGGCCCCCTAAATGGAAAACTTCTGTGTTTCTCTACTCACAATGCTTTTGACACCAAACGTGTGGGTTTTTCCATATCAAGCAATTCTCCATTTCTCGGTGGACACCGATTGGGCATTATAATTTAACTCATTCTGACACTAACCACCTGGAGTTATTAGCGAAGACTCCGTATCTTAAGGGCTTGTCACACAAGACTGCCCCCCCACTTCAGATGCCTATTGGCAATCAAGGCTTCCCGTACTTCTGACCACCTGGCCATAAATTGAGGGTTCCTATGACCCCCTCCTTAGGTTCAATAGTTTGCCAGAATGGCTCACAGAACTCAGGGAAACCCTTATGTGTAACAGCCAAATGGAAGAGACACATGGGGCAAAGTATAGGCGCGGGTGTGGAACTTCCATGCCCTGTCCAGCGCATCACCCTCCCAGCGCTGGATGTGTTTGCCAGCCTCGGAGCTCTATGAACCCTGTCTTGTAGGGGTTTATGGGGGCTTTGTTACGAAGGTGTGATTGATGACATCATTGACCATTGGTGATTAAATGTCTCCAGCCCCTCCTCCCCGGAGATGGGGGTGGGGGTGGGGGTGGAAGTGGCTTATGAATAACAAAAGATGCTCCTCTGTCCCCAGTCACTCACGAAATCTCAGGGGTCCTAGGAGCTCTGTGCCAGGAACCGAGAAGACCAAATATCTATCATAGCGCAATATCACACCCCCAAAGGGAACTGCTGTCCCAGCTGCCATCGTCATAGAATAGTTTTGCCTGTCCTTGAACTTCATGTAACTGGATTATTCCATAAATACTGTTTTGTATGTAGTAGAAATGCCCGTTTGACAACGGCAGTCTGTTGTATGAAGTTAGTGCATTCACGTCTGGAGCGTCGTTTTGGAAATGAATGAAGTGTGAAATCAGGGCTGGGCCAGATGGGAATACTCGCTCACACATATGAGTCATTGCAAATGAATATAGTTCTTGTTTTTAACCAACTTACCTGAAAGAGTCAGGATTTGGAAAATAAACTGGAAGCTTGAAAGGACCATTCGGGCATTTTGGTTCCAGGTTGGAGGTTCATCACCTGCCCCTCATGGCTGTGATCCAAGTACAAAAGCTGTCTCGGGGCCGGGTGAGTGCCACTGACCACGGGGGTCAGTCGGGGAGTCCCCTGAGCCCCGGGGAAGTCCAGGTGGGTGGACATGTGCAGGCCGCCAAGGATGGGGTCACGGGGCCTGAGACGGCCGCTCCTGCGGCAGCAGGCCTTCACATGTCGATGGCTTTCCAAGGGTTACATTTTGGAACAACACTTGTGAGTCTTTATGATGGTTTCCATTACAGTTCTCAAAAGTTCATATGCATTTATAAATGAGACTTGACTAAAGTGTTTAAGGACTTAAGCGCTAAGAACTGCCAGAGCACGCTGTGAGTGGCGTCCTGTGCTGGGTAAGCTCCTTGCCTCCCCATCTCATTTCTCCGTATTTAAAACAGGAGTGGCGACCCCGCCTTCCAGCCATGGCAGGTAGTTGTGACCACGAAGTAGGCAGCCAGTGTGAGGTCACTGAGGAGCAGGACTGAGGTCGAGGCCCGGCTGTGTGTTGGGCTTTTTCTTTTTTTTATCACTCAAAAAAGAGACCATTTTTGTGGTTCTTTTGCATGTAACAGGAGTAAAAGTCGATGGATTAATAAAATGGGTTCAGTCTGTCACAGAAGGTGTGGTCAGTCGGCCAAAAAGCAGGCCCGACTGTGTTAGGCGGAATGTCACTAGGAAAGGATAAAATCTCAACAAAGCCTCTCCTGACAGACACTGTAGGAAGCTGCTCAATGAGACTTTGAACAAAGGGAAGTATCACCCTGTCTTCGCCCCTGGCCGGTGACCTTCATGGTTATTTCACCTTCTTGCCCTGCCTGTATGAAACAGGCCTCAAGCCGCAGAGTCCCTTACCTTTATTTAACATAGCAAATACTAAATAGGGTTTTTACCTCAAGAACGTGGCTTTTTTTAAACTAGTGATATTTAAAAATAAAAATCCCTTTGTCTCATGTAGTTTAGAGCAGTGATTTTTAGACATTAATGGTTCATGTAGTCAGTTCAGTAGCATGACCAGAAAAAACAGAAAATGCGGAATGCCTCTCATGCCAGAATAAGTGTCTTTTTGTGGGCCCTTTGTTCTAGTACGTTCCTGTGTGTAGCAGATCACAACGGGGCCTTGAAAAACATGGGCTGAGGGGTCCTCCCTCCTTGGTCGCGTCTGCGAGCCCTTAGGACTTCTTGTTTAGATTTTCCACTGCGAGGTTTTGTTAGTAAGCGGCACCTTCTAGTCTTACATGTCTGTGTTGTGACGGCTTGAAAGAATGGAATCCCCCAGTTGTCACATGGATGGATGGCTCATCCCTGGGCCCGGGCACGCCCACGTGTGAGAGGAGCACATGCACCTGCGAGCAAGCTAGATGGAGGTGTGCCCTCCCTCTGAGTGACCAAGGGCACAGCATCCCCTCTGTCGGGTGGTTGGAGGAGTAAATGCAGGTTCTATAAATAGTCTGTGAGCTATGGCCTCATACTTTACAATCCAAAAGCGTTGATTGAAAGTGGCTTTACCCAGCGGACAGAAGATGACATACCGGTGATCTGTCGCTGTTTGCTGCCGTGTCACACCAGCTTAGGACAGTGAAACACCCCTCTCTCCTCCTGGAAGGAGATGTTGTTTCAAAACATCATGGCGTGGGCCAGCCCCGTGGCTTAGCCGTTAAGGGCTCACACTCTGATGCTGGCGGCCCGGGTTCGGATCCCGGGTGCGCACTGACACACCGCTTCTCCGGCCATGCTGAGGCCGCGTCCCACATACAGCAACTAGAAGGATGTGCAACTATGACATACAACTATCTACTGGGGCTTTGGGGGAAAAAATAAATAAATAAAATTAAAAAAAAAAAAACAAACATCATGGCGTGACAGCTGGTGTGCTCCCCACACAGATCTGTGAGAAGACACACGGGGTGTGTTTCTGGGGGTGTGCTGAGAAGGAAGCTCTTTGGAGTGTCCGCAGAGGGGGCTAGGGTGGTCTTTCTGGGTCTTGAGTTTTTCTGAGCTGACAGTTCTTCGCATTCAGGGGCTGTGGGGTACTTGCCCTTTTTCAAGGGTCAAGGGGTATGATTTCTTGTGGCTTTTTGAGACCGTGGACGTTGAACAGTGAGTTCCACACAACATCTCTGAGTGTTATGAGAACCTCTCCTCCACCCCGACTTGCCTGTCCTGGTGGCCTTGCCCCGGGAGCCTTGGCAAGGCCTAGTGGACAGCAGAGGACGGCTCTGAAGTGAGAGGAGCACTGGCTACGGGGGAGCAGAGGAGCAATGCCAGGGAGGCTGCACACCTGGTCTTGGGGCTGATGTTGGAGAGGCGGATGGATGGCGTGGCCATCTCCCAGGCACTGCTCAGGGCTGGAGCACGTGGGACTCTTCCTCCAGGCTGATCTGTAAGGTCTTTTGTAAAAGCCATCCGCCATTCTAAAAACGTATTTATTGTAGGAGCCTTGGGGAAATGGAAGGGCACAAAAGTCAAGGACTGCTGATTGTTAGCTGGAAGGTGGTGTCCTTTGAGCTCACATGCAGGCACGTACTCCATCCACGGGTTATAGCAAGCTGGCCTGGGAGCAGAGGCCTGGGCTGGGTGACCTTGAGGACAGCCACCGGTCTAGGGCTCCGGGGTGAGTGTGTGAGTGCCAGCTATGAGGCATGGGCAGGTCGCCACCCTGGCTGAGCCTTGGTTTCTGTGTTTGTAGCAGGAGATTAGACTAGATTGTCTCCAAGGCTTCCCAGAGCACAAAAATCCTGCTTCTCAGATTCTTGACCACAGGTCAGCTTGACAACCAGAGCCCTCACTGCCTGGCAGGGCCATCTTCCCTGGAGGATTACTCTGGGGTGGAGGCACCGCCACATCAGGACCCGCCGTGACGCGCTCTGTGTTCTTTCTTAGGGCTTGGCGGTTCACGGGGGGCGCGGCTCTCATGGCTGCAGCTAGCGTGACCCCTCCTGGCTCCCTAGACTTGCTGCAGCCTGGCTTCTCAAAGACCCTCCTGGGGACCAAGCTAGAGGACAAGTACCTGTGCTCAGCCTGCAAGAACGTCCTGCGCAGACCCTTCCAGGCGCAGTGCGGCCACCGCTACTGCTCCTACTGCCTGACCAGCATCCTGAGGTACGCGCGTGGCCAGCTCTGGGGTTTGCCTGGGGCTGCTCCAGGGAGGTGTCTCCGGGTGAAACACTACCTGATGGCAGAGGTTCACTGCAAACAAGGACGTGACATTAATGACCTAGAAAGATGGGCTCCATGTTGTTGACATGGTGCTGCTTTGGACGCAGGGGTGAAATAAAACGTATTAGTAAAGTTAGTTTCCCTGCTGCTTCTCCTTGTTTTTAACATGGGTACCAGACAGTTTAAAATTACACTTAGGGCTCGAGTGACGTTGGGTTGGTTGAGTGTGCTGCTCTAGATAATTAACACGTGTGTGAGTGACTGTGCGGGGCTGCTCCGTAAGTGGGGCTGCCCGTCTGGTCTGAGCGGCGGGGGCTGTGTGCATCAGTGGCTGGTCAGGAGGTGAGAGGAGCCGGCACCTTGTTCTGGGGCCTCTGTCTCTCAGCGCCGGCAGTTCAGAGAGAGCCTTTGTCACAACGGAAGGAATGATCCATCATCAGAGGATTCAGGTCATCTCACCTGTTTCCAGTGTTTTAAACCTTATACTGTTGCTGTGCGCTTGTCGTGACTCAAGGAGAGATGAGCAAGTCTGTGGAATGGAGGTGTGGAGTTGGGTTTGCAGCGAGGCAAAGGCGCTCGTTTGTTCTTCACGTAGGTTTCACAGTGGGACTTCTCTCTCTCCCCACCAGCTCCGGGCCTCAGAACTGTGCCGCCTGTGTGCACGAGGGCATATATGAAGAAGGCATTTCTATTTTAGAAAGCAGTTCGGTAAGTGAAAAGTCTTTAAGCTAAAAATGTCGAAAAGGATAGAAAATGTGTTGGCATTTTCTTTAATAACACAGGTGGCAGAAAGAAACATCAGCAGCTAGAAATACCCCTCGCTGCTGTGGGGGTTTCTGGAGTTTGGAGTGGCCGTGTGGAGAGGTGCCCTGGTCCTGAGAGCCGCCGTCCAGGAGGCTCCGGTGTTGGTGGTGTGGGGTTGGCAGTGGGCGACTGGGAGGAGGCTTAACAGCAGGGACGCTCTCTCCCCAGGCTTTCCCGGACAATGCTGCCCGCAGGGAGGTGGAGAGCCTGCCAGCTGTCTGTCCCAACGACGGCTGCACCTGGAAGGGGACCCTTAAAGAGTATGAGGTAGGGGCCTCCCTGCGCTGGCCCGGCCTCCCTGGGGGCTGAAGCCCCTCCCCCAAAGCAGTGGCACCAGAGCCTGTGCGACAGACAGCTTCTGCATTTAAGCCCATCTGATGTCTGTGGAAGAGGGGTGCAGCTGCTCTTTATGATATGTCCACTCAGATGTTCAAACTACAGAGCACAGACCTGCACCGTGGAGCCCTTGTGGCGTGGCCTTGGGTGGCGTACTTCACCCTCTTTGTGCCTCAGTTTCCTGGTCTGTTGAATGGGGGTGCAGTCCTCCTGCCATAGCGGGGTGGCAGTGAGGTGGCAATGTGTGCCAGGACCTAGTATTGGCTTGGGAGTGGGCTGCAGCCTCTCCCTGTGTGTGCAGGAAACCATAGCTTTCTTGCTTGGTGGGATTTTTCTGTTGTGTCCTCACGATGGCTTTCCTCTTTGGGGTTGTAGTGTCGTTGGAACTTGCAGAGCTCATCTGCACCTTCTTTCTGTGGTCACAGAAAGGCATCTGGCCAGTGATGGGGCACCAGTCAGTGTGCATGTCTCCCTGCCAGGTGAGGCTGGCTCACATCTGTGCGTTGGCACGTTGGGGGTTTCTATATGGTCGGCATCCGGCAGCTAAACCTGCAGCGTGGAGGCCGAGAGGTGCCACAGCTCATCCAGTTAGTTGTTCATCTGCTCTTCTTAACAAATGCCCTTTGAAAAACCTTTATATGTCAAACAGCTACTTGTACGTGAGTGTTCACAGTAGCCAAGTGTCCACTGACAGATGAAGGGATAAACAAGATGTGGTCTGTCCGCACTGTGGAATAGTATTCAGCCATAGAAAGGAAGGCGATCCTGACGCATGTACAGCCTGGACGGACCTTGAGGACGTTGTGCTCAGTGAAACAAGCCAGTCACAGAAGGACAAATCCTGTAGGACTCCACTCCTGTGAGGGCCCTAGAGCAGTCAGACTCAGAGACAGGAAGTGGAGTGGTGGCCTCGGGGGGCTGGAGAGTTGTGCTCAGTGGCACAGAGGCACAGGTTGGGCCTTCCAAGTGGGGAGGCTGGAGGGTCTGTCTGTGGAACCCTGGCTCTCCTACTCTCAGGCAAGCTCCTGCCCAGGGCTGCCCTGGCCAGGGGAAGCCTCCCTGCCATGGGGTGGGTACTGGACTATGACTGAGTCTTGACAGCAGGGGAGGGCCTATTGGGTCTGAAATTGGGGTCCTGGTTTCAGCGGGCTTCTCCATTCCTGCTCCTGGCCCTGTGCACTTCCCTCTTCTTGGCTAACTTGCCTTTGTGGTCTCTGGGCTCTAAGCTGTGTTTTGCCAGAGGGGCCGCTTGGGTGAGTCCAGGGAGGAGCCTCTGGTGGGATGGACGAGAAGATGCACTTTCCTTCTGATGGGCTCCCAGGGCCCGGAAGCTGAGCGGCTCTGAGCTCCCTGCACTCTTCCTGGGAGTGAGAGACTTCTGCCCCCCGGACGGAGGCCTCGGATGGCCCAGAGGCCACTGTGTGCACGCGCACAGGCAGGTGATGTCGCTGTGTGGGGCGCAGGCAGTGGGGCGTGGTGAGGGGACCCAGAGACCGCTGGGGGCAGGTGTAGTAACCCCCAGCTCCAAATTCCTCTGGGGTTTCTGCTGCCTGCCAGGCCCAGGAGGGCAGCAGCTTTGTGGGCCTCCGGCTGAGGGCCAGGCGTGCGGCCCCGCAGGCATGCCGGCTGGAAAGTCCCTGGCTGCTGCCTGAGAGCTCCGGAAAGTCCCTGAGAGGGGCGGGTTGGTCACGTGGGGGCGGGCACTGCTCTGGGACACTCGCCTTTGATATATTGATCAGACCTCTCGCTGGCTGTGAAGGCCACAGGCTGGGGTGAGATCAAGGTCTCAGGGCACAGGTGCGGCCACCTCTGCTGTGACCACCACTCCACTTGCCTCTCTGAGCCAACACATCTGCCCTTTGGGTGGCTCCAAATTGGGGTGGTGGTGTGAAATGCTAATGCTGTGGCTGAGTTATTTGAAAAGTGTGGCAAGATGGGGAAAATCCTGTTTAGCCTTGAATCTGTTTTTCCTTTGCAATGATGTCTAGTATTTACTAAGAACCCAGTGATTTGAAACTCCAGTCCAGTTCAAAGATGTTTGTGGAGTGCAGCCAAGTGCTGAGAGCAGGCTGAGCTGCACTCCCCCGGAGCTGGTCTTCTGGACGTGAGATAAGACTGAGACGTGGTCGGGCGCGAGAGGAGGGAGCCACAGGGAGGAAGAGCCTGGGGGCTCCAGAGGAGGGGCTGGCAGGGGTCTGGAGAGGTTAGCAGGTTAGCGGAAGGAAAATTGCAGTTGAAAGGCTAGGCAGAGTCTAGTGTGCTCAGTCTCCCCACTCGTCCCAGTGAATTCAGAGTTAAGATGACTCTGTTTGCTTAGACGTTCGTTTAAATTCTGGTTGAATAAATACTGGTTTCTCTGAAGCATGTGCTTCTCTCTGAGCATATGCGAGGTCAGGAGCCGCCAAAGTGTGTGCTGTCCTGTGAGGGTGGGGGTGCAGTGTACGTGCTCTGGGTTTCCATCCGGGCCTACTGGAACGCCATGTCCTGAAGTGTTGGCCGTGCGAAGATGTGAGCAGCGAGCAGTGTGGGCTGAGAACCGTCAGCGGGATGGTCCAAGTGTCCTCGCCCGTCCACAGCAGTGCCGCACGCTCAGTCTTCTTTTAGCTGCCCCCATGTTTCACTCTCAGTATTTGATTACGCTTTAAAGGACACTCTCTGAATTAAGTCCAGGTACCCTGATGGGGTGCTGCAGTTTCTCTGTCTCATGAGCCATGCTCATTTCTGAGGCTCCTCTCTGGGTCAGTTTGGTTATCACTTGCTGAGCATGGCCCAGGTGGGGCCCTGCCCGTTGGGTGGTTGCGGGGTATAGTATCCATATGCCAGAGGTCCCGGAGTGTCCTGGGGCTCAGGGGCTCGGGCTGAAGTGGTGGCAGGCTGGGCCCTGGGGCCCTGCTGGGAGCCTTTGAAGAGTTGTCAACAGGGAATGGTGGGTCAGCCGAGCGGCTGCAGTGACAGTGTGAGGGGTGCTCCCTGGGGAGGTTGAACAGGAACCATCAGGAGCCAGGTCTCCCCTCTGCTCTGCTATAGCATTGAGGGCTTTGTGCAACTGGTCCTGTCTGGGCCTGCCTTTGTGGCCAGTCTGTGTCCTTCTGAGGCCAGGGTCTCGCGTGGCAGGTCTGGGGTGCTCTGTCGGGCTGCCCTAGGATCATCAGGGAGGCTGGGCCTGTGGTGTTAGATCTGGTGTGTGTCCACGCAGGAGATCAGAGGGACGGGGTGCGTGCTCCAGGAGGCGTGGAGTGTAGGGTCGTGTGGAGGTGTGGGCGCCACTGGACACCACATCTGAAGTCTCCACACCACGGCTGTGCTGCCGGGAGGGGCAACATGCGTGCCCTATCCCTCTGGAGTTCACCTGTTGCTTCTGCTCACTCCTTGTCCACGAAGCTGTGGGGACATATGGAAACAGAGCACATCTGGGGGCCCTGCCCGTCCCTCTCAGGTCCTCTGCGACTGAGCTCTGCAGGGAGGCCTGAAGATCCGACATTTCACGCCAGCATCTCGGCCCCGAGCTGCCTGGCTTGTTGGGGCCCCAGCCCAAATCTCTATTGAGGTGCTGACCCCTCTTCCTGGTCTGGCCTCTCCAGAACTGTCGTCTCTCAGTGACCTCCTCCTTCACTGCAGGATCCCTGTCTCTGCATTTTTTCCATCAACATGCAAACGAGCTCTAGTGTGTCTGATCTAAAACTTAACATGAGCCAGACCCCAAAGGACAGATCTCTAGGACTCCCTCCTGTGAGGGACGAGAGGAGTCAACACAGAGACAGGAAGTAGATGGTGGTGTCGGGCTGGGGGAGCGGGTGGGGGTGAGTGTTTAATGGGGACAGGGCTTCAGTTTGGGAAGATGAGAGTCCTGGAGACGGATGGTGGGGACGGGTGCACAAGAACGTGAATGTGCTGAATGCCACTGAGCTGTGCACTTAAAAGTGGTTAAGATGGTGAATTTTGTGTTGTATATTTTACCACAATAAAAAAACTTAACAGCAAACCAATCTTCAGCTCCCTGTTCCTTGACCTGCTCCTCTGTTCCCCTTCACAGCACACTTTTCCTGAGAGTTTCCTACAGTTTCTCTCCCTCTCTTCAGCTCACGGCCCCTGCAGGCCAGGGACCGGGACTGACCTGTCCTTCCGAGGCTGTTGCCTCGGAGGCATTTGGTTTATGGGCACATCCAGGGGCTCCCAGCACAAGTCTGGCCTGCCCTTTCTCACCTCTCCTGCCTCCCCGTTCCTGCCCTGCGCCTCGCAGTCTGCTCACTCGCAGGGCTGGGCTGTCCTTGTCCTTAGAGCCTTCCTGTGCAGCTCCTTTGCGGTAAAGCCTGAGACGGGGCTGGATTCAGTTTCCAGGTTCCCCACCCCCAACCTGTGTGAGGCGCCCGCCCTCCTCCCTCCAGGTCCTTCTCCTGCGCTGCCCTGGCTTTTCCTGGGATGCTCCCAGGTCTCGCCTCACCCGACCCTTCTCTTGGAATGCTGTTACCCGTAGAGCTCCAGGCCTGGACCTTGCCTTTCCAGGTGTCAGCTCCGGGAGGGCGGGCTCAGCCAGCTCCACCTCAGGTGTTGGGACGAGTGGGTGGGCTCCTGAGCTGCTTCTCTGCTTCTCACTCTGGCTCCCACAGCCCGTTTTCATCATGGCACATGGGCTCTCGTCACTGCTCTAATTCTGTCTGCCTAGAACGTGTCCTGCTCCAGGCCTGGCCGCCTGGCGTCCAGCAGATTTTGTGCCTCTGTCGGCTGGGTGCTCTCTGCTTCGGGCCTTGGCTCTGCTGCCCCTCTCTGGATGCCCTCCCTCTGCTGCTGCCTTCTACACTCCATCCCCTGTCCCAACCCTCTGGGGCCCCTCTCTCTGTCTGGCCAGTGGTCCTGTTGTCCCTGAACGTCACTCCGGAGAAGTCCCCTCTGTGTCCTGTGGGTGAAGCCCAGGGAGGGACATTCGTGGGGTCATGGCGTGGGTGGGGTGCAACCAGCTGGAATTGAGTCCTAGTCTCTGGTCTGCAGCAGAGGTGTTGGAGTGAATGGATTCTCTGCACTTGGTGTGGTGCCCCTTGCCAGGCACTTGTGGGGTTGACGCAGGGTCCCAGTGGTGTAGCACTGAAACCAACCTGGGAGCCTCGGCCGGTGCAGCCATCTCTGTACACAGCCGGGGCGCAGTGGTGGTGGCTGGGGCTGTCCTCCTGAGTGCTCTGCTGATGCTTTGCTCCCTGTGTTGCCAGAGCTGCCATGAAGGACACTGCCCATTCATGCTGACTGAGTGCCCGGCGTGTAAAGGCCTGGTCCGCCTTGGTGAGAAGGAACGCCACTCGGAGCACGAGTGCCCAGAGAGAAGCCTCAGCTGCAGGCACTGCCGGGTACCCTGCTGCTGGGCTGACATGAAGGTGAGGGCATGCCGGCTGGTCCTCGCGGCGCTGCGGCGTGGCGGGAATTCTGGTGTCTGCCTGGCCTGGCCCAGCCGTCACCATGGCGCTGAGCTTCGTGTCGTGCCCTTGGGGCCAGTTTGGTGCTTCCCCGGCTTGTTGCCAGGGTTCAGCCCTTCCCACGCAGCTGTGTGGGTGGAGGCTTCTCGGTGGGGAACCGGGTCGGGGGTGAAGTCAAAGCCAAGTCGTTTTAAAAAGCTGTTTTATTTTAGAAAAGTTCAGACACAGAATGGCAGTGTGAGGTTCCCGTACCCTTACTCGGTTGTGTTGGCATCACTGTGTGCCAGATTGTGTCGGGCCTCCCCGGACTGTTACTAAACCGTCCTAGACTTTTGCCGTTTCATCCGCAAATTCTTCAGAATGTGTTTCTAAGGGGCAGGCGCCTTCGTTTCTGCAGAGCTGTCACACATTCCTTCCACATCTGAAACTTACCGGAGACTGCGTATGGGCACTCGCTGGCTGGGTGCCCACTTTCCCGACCTCCGTAGGGGTCTGTCATGTTTATTGCTGCGTTGCATCGATGTGTTTATCATGTCTTTTCATCTTTAACAGTGCCCCCAGGGCATCTTTTTTTTCTTTGCCATTTATTTGTTGAAGAAGCTGGCCGGTCTGCATTTGGCAGATTGTTTCCCCTCTGTCCCCTCTTCCTATAAACCCTGAGATCCAGGGGCCTGATCATAGTGCGTCGGGGTGCCAAGCGCCCTGCAGCATCTCATCAGGGGTCTCTCTTGGAGATGTTCCAGCTGCTCACAGGTCCTTCCTCAGAAAGTCCCGCCAGCCTTGCACCTCGGGGCCAGGGAGCTGTTCTCCATCCGAGGGCCCATTTAAGTTGGGTGGCGAGTGGTGATGCTCTCTCCTCTCAGGTCACTGTTAGCAGCTTATCCTTCTTGTGTTGCTCCGGGGGCAGCCAGATGAAGAGGAGGTTCTGAACTCTCTGAAATTCCTGTGGGTGCCACAGGAGTGCCATCTCTGGAGAGGCCGGGGGTCCCAGCCCGGGGGTGGAGGAGGTGACGAGGAGCACAGCGTGACCTCAGGCCAGGCCCCATCCGAGCATCGGCACATCCCAGTCTCCCAGCTCTAACTTCCTGCCCACTTCTCTTCCAGGCGCACCATGAAATCTGCCCCAAGTTCCCCTTGACTTGCGACGGCTGTGGCAAGAAGAAGATCTCCCGCGAGAAGGTAAGTGGTTTCCGCTGCTGCAGAGCACCAGCAGGACAGGCACAAGTGTTGGCAGTGAGGGGCCTGTGCGCGTGCTGTGGGGGTCAGGACCTGGTGCCCAAAGGAGAAGCGACGGCTTATGGGTGGGTACGCGCGTCGGGGTCACCTGTGGGACGCTTTTTTGTTAAATTTTTGGTGATGGAGGTGACCAAGCCTGGGCAGAAGAAGAGTGCACCCTGTAAGAGCCTGGACCATCCTGAGGTTCAGGGATGCTGGTGGCCGCTCCTCATCCCTGCCCCCACTCCTTCCCATAGCACAGCCTTTCATCCGAAACGCTTCAGCGACGGAGCAGGAATCCTGGCTCTGTTTTAAGAGAAAATACATCAGGGTTCAGACTGAATTCTGGTTCAGATTTTTACCTAACTTCCCTATGTTGAGCTCGTTTTGCTGCAGAGAATCTTCGTAGCTAATGATGTCAGCACTATGGTTCATGTGTGTCATCCTGCTGGGTGTGACGGTTGCGTCGTTCCAGCATCAGCGTCACTGTGGACGTGCTGGTGAAGGACGTGGGGATCAGTTTTCTTCCCTCTCGGTGTGCCCTCTGATCCAGTCGCCCTCCCATGAGGAGGGTGGGTGGATGGGCTGCCAGTTCAATGCACCTTTGAGCTCCTTTGTTTCCTTTTGCTTTTGAGTTTTTAGGATTGCTCTTAAAAAACATTGTCTTGTAGTTTTGTGAAATAGTTACATGGCTCCAAAGTGAAAACTAGGAAAAGGCTGCATTCTGAGAAGTCAGAGGGAAATGGATTTGTCGTTTGTCAGCTCGGACCCCTGCCTGGGGCTGTGGTTCAGAAACCTGAGCCCGTCAGCGAGGGGGAGACCTGTGTCCCTGACCTGCCAGTGGGGTGTGGGGTCAGACCTTGGGTCTCGCCCATACAAGGGTGAGAAAAGGTCTCAGGGTAGTTTTCATCTCCATTTCACAAATTGCGAGTGTGATTGAGCGCTTTTTTGCTTAAAGTTTATCTGCATTGCTCTTGCTAGGAGCCTTTGTGACTCCTGCCCATCTCCCGGTGGGGCTCCTGGTCCCCTTCTCTCTGTCTGGACTCTGGAGACAGAGTCCTTTACTTTGCCAAGTGGCAATCCTTGTTCGTTTCTGTTTGGGGGGCCCTGGTCAAGGTTTTTCTCTCACTGTTTCTGGATTTTGGTTCCAAGTTGGGACCATTTCCTCCTCCCGGGCCCAGAGGAGATAAGTCTTCTTTCCTTCTGGTCTTTGTAGGTCTGGTTTTCTCACATTTCAGGTCCCCGGTGGATGGAGGTGGAGGGACCACTTGGACGTCGTCCTGTGGCTGCCCCCTCACCCTTAACCTGCTGATGAAAATGTCAGGCTTTGTCTTCACTGATGTGAGGTGCTGCCTGTGTCAGTACTGAGTGTCTCTGCACAGCTGGCCCCTTTCTGGGCTTTGTGTTCTGTTCCGTTGGTCTCAGCATTGTTGCGCGCCAGCATCACGCTGGGTCAGTGGTGGGTGTCTGACCCCTGGTCAGGCTGACCCTCCTTATTTCTGGCTTCCAGCCAGAACCCAGGCTTCCAGCTCCAAGGCCCCAGGGCCTCAGATATGATGTGTCTGACAGACTATGATTGATGGAGGAGGACTGCCCTCTGGGATGCAGAGGCCTGTGCAAGAGACGGGGTCTCCCTCGGCGTTCTGAAACGGCCCACACGTGTGAGGCCCTCAGCCTGTGCCCACCTTGATTACTGACACCGCCAGTGCGTGTGTGCAAGCATGTGTGCACGTGTGTGCGTGTGCATGTGCGCTCCTGCAGCTTTGGACATGTGTGTTGGGTTTTGTGCCACATGAGAGTGAAGAGGCTGGCGGGTGGTAGGGTGCCCCTGTAGGGGTGGAAGTGGTGAGAGGGGCCAGAGCAGGGTGGTAACTGCTTTTGTGATGTCATGCTCTTCTAGTTTCAGGACCACGTCAGGACGTGTGGCAGATGCCGAGTCCCGTGCAGATTCCACGCTGTCGGCTGCCCTGAGATGGTGAGTCCAGGTCTGCTGTGGGGCCACCGGGGCTGGGTGTGTGCTGCCTCGGTCCTCGGGGCAGCTCCCTGCTTCCTGAGTGGAGGCCGGCAGAAGTGTGCTGCACACCCTCTTCCTGAACATGGTCTTCACTTGGCCTCAGGCCTGGCCCTCCTGATTTTCTTCCCGCCTCCCTGGCTGCCTCTCCGCCTTCTGGGCTCTCAGGCATCCCAGGCTCAGTCTCCCCAGCCTGCTCCGTCCGTTCACCCTCCTGGTGACCTCATGGTGCCCCCGCTTTGAGCACCCCTCTCTGCTAAAAACACCCTCGCTTCCAGCTCCCTGATGTCTAGTGGGCATCTCAAACCTTAGCTGCACACCACGATCCACACTCTTCCCTGTCTTCCTGCCTTCCCCAAAAGAGCTCCTTGGTTCGCCCAGCCACTCTGGCCAAAAGCCCAACACTTATTCTGGACCCTCTTCTTCTCTCACTATCACGTCCAGTCTGCCGGAAGATCCTCCACTCTGCCTGCAAACGGGTCCCGGATCGCACCTGCCTCTCCATACCACACCTCCCTTGCCTCCCCTGCCTTCTCCACCTCCCCACTGCCCCCACTTGCATCCGTGGCCTGCATGGCCCTTCCTGTGTGTCCCTTCCTGCGTGATCTTGATCCTGGCTGCCTTTGACTTCGTCTCCCTGCCCTGGTCACTGGCCTGGCTGTCCTTAAGCACAGTGACCTGTTCCTACCCCAGGACCTTGATCCTCCTCCTGTGTGCACGCCGCACACCCGCGGGTTTCTGTGTGGCTCCCTCAGGCCTGGGCAGCTCTCTGTCCACATGGCCCCTCCCCCTCCTTTCCCTGACTGTTCTGTCCCCCTGAGGAGTGGGAGTGTGCAGTCCCCCAGCTGGCTGAGGGCCTGCGGTCTCCGTGGAGCGGGGCACGCCTAGCGCTCTGCTCCTCAGCGACAGCCCAGCAGCATTTCTGGCGGTGGTGGTCCTGGCTTTGTCATTTGTGACTTGATGATACTACTCTCAGGTGTTTTGCTTTTGTTTTGATTTTAACGGCAGTGAACAGGGATGGCGCCTCCTGCTGTCACTCAGTCTGTGTTGGGTCTACCTTCCCGGGTCATGCACTGCTGGCCCATTTCCTGCTCATGCCCAGGGTTCCCTGACCTCGGGCTGGTGGAGGCCAGCGTGTGGGCCCAGGGTGCTCACTGAGACACGTCATGAGTCTAATTCCAACTAAGGGCTAGCGATGTATTGGCCTCATCTAACACTGGACCTCGAGCCCCAAGCACAGCGACAGTTTCCTCTTTTCCATGCCATGTGCACAGCAGCCCCAGCACCCGCTCCTTGGAACTTGGGGGTCTCCTGTCTGAGCACCACCAGGGAGCCGCTCCCTGGGTGGTGTGCCTCACGTGGGAGTTCATTTGTTTATTTCTATTTTTATTTTTTGAGAGTGTCTAACATTTTTAAATTGGTTGTGAAGGTTTGGAAGAAATTTGGCAACAGAACCAGGTCGGTACAGTAAAGACTATTTGAAGATGCTTACTTAGCTTTATCTCCCCCTCCCTCTTCCACCCCCCGTGGCAGCTTTTGTGATGGTATATTCTTCCTTGTTACTTTAAACATAAGCAAGTTATTCAGGAAGGTTTGTATTTTAAAACACGATTGACTTCAGACAGAGACAGATGAAACACCGTCAGGAAAACGAGGTGGAACGGTCGTCACTAACTCGGTCATCGCCTCACTTTCCAGGCACTTCCAAGCTCTGCTGAGGCCTGTGCGGCCTCAGGGGTCCTGGTCAGGGCTGAGCGCAGGTGCGGCTGGCAAACCTTCCCTGTCTTGTCTCTGCAGGTGGAGAGCGAGAAGCAGCAGGAGCATGAGGTGCAGTGGCTCCGGGAGCACCTGGCCATGCTGCTGGGCATCCTCCTGGAGACAAAGCACCTCGTGGCAGACGGTGGCCGCTTCCTTGGCCAGAGTGAGGTGGGGGTCCCGGGGGTGGAGCTCTCCAAGGCTGCAGAGCTCCTGCAGAGGTGTGAGGCCTTGGAGAGGAAGACGGCTACCTTTGAGAACATTGTCTGCGTCCTGAACCGGGAGGTGGAAAGGGTGGCCATGACTGCCGAGGCCTGCGGCCGGCAGCACCGGCTGGACCAAGACAGGATCGAAGCCCTGAGTAACAAGGTCTGTGCCCGGTGCGGGGGTGCAGTCTCTCCCCTTGGTGCCAGGATGCATCCTGGGCAGGTTCCTGGCACCACGGGGTTTCAGAGCCAGGGCTTCAAGTGCAGCACCTCGAGTTCCAGCACGCTGTTCGCTTTCTGCTTTGGCCTCTCTGTCTCTGAGCAGAACCCCTTCTTGAGCCCCATTTACTGATGGACCCAACTCACTGGGTTCCTAGAGGCCACGGGGATGTAGCCTCTTCTTTCCGACCTGGGGGGGGCAGAGGTAGCCATGGGGAACGTGCCTCGTGCTTTCTGTGGGTTCCATGAGCGTGTTTCCTGACACTTGAGCCCTGGAACCTGGGGCCTGGGTGGGGTTAGGGGTCTTGTGGGGAGAGAGGCAACCTGACAGAGGCTGAGCCCAGTGTAGCCTCAGGAGCACCGGGAGATGTCATCCTACTGGAAACTGGTGGAAAGATGGGCGTGGGGGGTAATTTTATAACACATACCTGCGAGGCGGAAGGTGGTCTCCATGGAGGTAGAGTTGGGCAAATCCCCTGGCCCCCTCTGGCCTGGCACCCCAGCAGGTGTGCGTCATCACGGGGCTCCTCGTGCCCCCCAGGTGCAGCAGCTGGAGAGAAGCATTGGCCTGAAGGACCTGGCCATGGCCGACCTGGAGCAGAAGGTCCACGAGATGGAGGCCTCCACCTTCGACGGGGTGTTCATCTGGAAGATCTCAGACTTCACCAGGAAACGCCAGGAAGCCGTGGCCGGCCGCACACCTGCCATCTTCTCCCCAGGTGCCATTTTGTCCTGGGCTGCCATGTCCTCCCCAGGCTGAAGGCTGTCCCCTGCCAGCTAACATCAGGAGTCACTGTGACTCCCAGAGAGGGCAAGGGGGTGACACGTCCCCCTTGGGCAGGAGCCCTCCTAATGAGCCAGCTCCTCTCCCACCTCAGTCACTGCAGCCTCATCTCAGCTCTCACCTTCGCTGCAGGGTGGGATGGCAGAGCAGCGCAGGCAGGGAGGATGAGACCATGAGGGAGGACAGCTGTGCAAGGCAGGACTCCCCCCACAGGCCTTCCCTCATCTGGCCCCTCCCACTATTGGCTCCTGCCTGTGCTGCTGGTGGTTTCTCATGCCCCTTTTCACCACCAGCTGTGGGTCTCCTTAAGGGATGCTCAGAGTGTTTTCTCGGAAGGAAGGTGCTGCTGGAGAGGGAGGTGGAGGAAGGTGGCATGTGGTGGCCTTGTCCCGAGGCACATGCTGTTAGGATCCCACTGCGTGTGCTGCGGCCTCCCCCGGGGATGACCCACCACTGGCAGGATGCACCCTGCATGCCATTTATTTGAGTGTTTACTTGGGCATACCTGCTACTGAGGCTATGGGCTCCAGAGCCCGGGCTGAGTGGTGTGGGCTCTTCTCCTGTTTGAATTTATGGGGCAGGAAGGGAAGGTAATGCTCCCTGAGTGCAGGGGCTGTGGGCAGACCCACAGTGTAATTCTGGGGTGTCCCCAACCTGCTGCTTCCTCTGTGGCACGTCCTGGACCAAGTGCACACGCTGTCTTCCTGAGCTGGGGCAGGAAGTGTGAGGGAGTGGTCTGTGCGGGGTCCAGAGGGACCATCCGCTCTGGACTGGACACACTGGTGCCTCCTTGCCACGTGTTTCCCTGGCAGCTGAAGTGCACCTGCTGATTCGGATTTCCTGTGGCTTCAGCTTTGACAAAACCTGGCAGTGAACTTGGGTGAAAGGAACAGTGGCTGAGCATGAGCTCCTGTTGGGGTGGCCCTGTGACACGCTCCTGGTGGACATCCATCTCTGGTCGGGCAGAGTCTGCCTTGTCTGACCTGCCTGGCACAGCTTGGGTTGCAAACAGGGTGGGCGTACAGGGAGCGATGGAAGTGGTTTCTGGAGGCGTGAGCGAGAAGGCAGAGTCGGCTGTAGACTGCTCTCTGCATGTGCCCTATGCTCAGTGTTGCGTCTTGTGGGTTAGGAAACGGCAACCGCCATGTTCCTGGCTGTCGCTCCTTTTCTCTGCACCCTGTTGGATGTCAGGGACGTCAGGTCCAGCTTGGCCCGGGGTTCTCAGCCCGCTGTCGTCTCTTCTAGGCCAGGCCCCTCTGCCCAGAGCCCCAGACGGTGGTTCTTAGTTGTTGCTCCAGCCGCCCCTTGGGTTCATGGCTAGTTCATGCGTGGCCAGTTTGGGGTTATGTTTAGGGTTCTGAAAAACACCATTTCTGAATACTACTTTTTTCTTTTTAAGAAATTTGTTTTTGCTGGCAACTAACTCTGCATACTTTGAGAAAATAGTTCCCTCTTTGTGGGCCTGCACCTGAGTGTTTTCTCCGTCTCTCCGGGGAAGGCGGCCGGGTAGGACGTGCCCACTGGGGCCTAGGTTCACCAGCGCCTTCCCCCACAGCCTTCTACACCAGCAGGTACGGCTACAAGATGTGTCTGCGCATCTACCTGAATGGAGACGGCACCGGGCGTGGGACACACCTGTCTCTCTTCTTTGTGGTGATGAAGGGCCCCAACGACGCCCTCCTGCGGTGGCCCTTCAACCAAAAGGTGCGCAAGGCCATCCCCGCACTGCTCTGGGGGGCACCTGGGAGCCCCACGGGCTGGTGAGGCTGTCAGGACAGGCGCTCAGGTTCCTGGACCCTGTCATGGCATGGAGCGCTCTGGTGGTGTCTAGTCAGCTGCACAGCTTCCAAATGCTGGTCATGGTGGTGGTAACTCACCATCTTCATGGCCACGTGGGGCCAGCAGTTAAAAATGCCACCTCAGAGAGTTCGTTTCAGAGGAAGAAATACAGCTAAAGAGTCTTTATTTGAGGTATAATCTATTACTTTGAAAACCAGAATCCATTTTTGGTTGAGGAATTGAAGATTTAGGGCCTAGGTCAGTACAGTATTATCCTTTGCTTTTATGATGCTGGGGCGCCTCTGTGGCCCTCATGGTGGAGGCGGCGGCAGAGCAGAGCGCCAGGTGGATGGACACCACTGGCAGTCATGGCTTCTCCCTGAAGAGTGCTGTTCCTCAGGAGAGATGATGGGCACTCTGTGAGCTCTTTGGTAAGAAAATGTCTGTCAGGGGCCGGCCCGGTGGTACAAGCAGTTAAGTGTGCGTGCTCCGCTGTGATGGCCCAGGGTTTGCTGGTTTGGATCCTGGGCACGCACCGACGTACTGCTTGTCAAGCCATGCTGTGGCGGCGTCCCATATAAAGTAGAGGAAGATGGGCACAGATGTTAGCCCAGGGCCAATCTTCCTCAGGAGAAAAAAGAGGAGGATTGGCATTAGATGTTAGCTCAGGGCTAATCTTCCTCAAAAAAAAAAAAAAAAGAAGGAAAATTTCTGTCAGATGAGTGTTATTTAGAAAAAGCACAAATGAACACAGTTCCATAGTGCTAGGTAGGCTTCAGCCTCAAATCCCATGTGTCAGTGGACAGAAGATGCTGGAATGGCCACAGATCATCCAGACAAAGGGCTGACATACAGTGGCCGTGTTCCCAGTGCTCCACTGCAGAGCAGGCGCCTGCTGTGGGGGCATGCATCTGTATGGGTCCGTGCCGGCTCCTGGATGGGCTGGCCCATGGCAGCTGGAGCCAGGTGGGGCTGTGACTTAAAGAGTGTTGTCCCTCCCCGGGACGGTCTCCTCCCAGGTGACCTTAATGCTGCTTGACCAGAACAACCGGGAGCACGTGATTGATGCCTTCAGACCCGACGTGACCTCATCCTCTTTCCAGAGGCCTGTCAGTGACATGAACATTGCGAGCGGCTGTCCCCTCTTCTGCCCTGTCTCTAAGATGGAGGCCAAGAATTCCTACGTGCGTGATGACGCCATCTTCATCAAGGCCATCGTGGACCTGACAGGGCTCTAGCCGCCTCCCACCAGGGTCGGGGGTCGGGGTTGAGGAGCCACCACGCTGGGCCTGAGCCTCGCTGCGGGCGAGTGCCTGCCGGGTTCACGACCTACTGGGAAGGGGCCGCCTTCTGGGTGGGGGCGCTCCGGCCAGGCCACGTGGAGTGGGCCGTGGGCCTGTGAGTGCCTCCTGGCGAGCTGTCCTGTGCAAGTGCTCAGAGCTCTTGGTGTGCAGCAGGAGTGGCTGGGGGCAAGGCGAGCAGAAGGCCCGGGGGGCCGCGAGGAGAGGGGCCGCCCCCCATCTGGCCACACGAGGAGCCCCCTGGTGCCTGGCCCCACCCTTCAGCCTCTGGAGAGAAGGGACGTTCCCGGGCCAATGCCCTGAGTAGAGCTCCTGCTGGGGCAGCCTGGCCAGGCCTGTGGGCAGGGAGGGCGCCCTGTGTCCTCAGAATGTCCCGTCGGCTGCCCTTGCGGTGTTTGGGGGGCACATATTCAGCCCCACTGCAGGACTTGTGTCAGCTGCCCCGTCGGGCTGTGGAGAAGTTGTCATTAAATCGTAGAATCTCTGTGGTGAGTGGTGTCCGTTTGGCTCCAACCTTGGCAGTGGTGACCCTCGCAGGGGCCTCCTGGCTTCCTGCCTCCCGTGGCCCCCTCCTTGCAGGTGCCCTGCCCCTGTCTGTGTCTCCAACTCCAAGCTCGCTCCTGGGGCCGTGGTGAAGCCAGTTGTTTTCTCTTCTGGAATGTTCTTTGCTGGCCGGCTCCTCCTCCCTCAGGCCTCCCAGGGGCTGCCTTGAGTGCAGGGCCACACATGTGCCTCTCATTCTGGGCCTGTCCTACCCCTCTGTGCAGGGACCCCTTGCCATGGAAGAGTGGCCAGTGGCTTCATTTGTGTTGGAGTCTGAGGAGTGGTGTTGCCCCTGGAACCAGACCTTCTCTGGCTACCAGGGATTTTCTCGACTGGCAGAGTCCTAGCACCCTGGCCACAGGATTGAACCTCACTTATACCTGGGTTAGGGCCTCAGCCCTGTGGGGTGCAGGAGAGGGTCCTGGCCAATGGCTGTCCTCACCTGGCTGCGCCAGTGACCAGTCATTTGTTCTCAGGCTGGGGCTGCCTGGGGTCCTTACAGAGAACCTTTCAGTGATAGGTTTGACTTCCCCTTACATGGTCACTCACATCTCTCTTGAGAAGTTAAACGATAGAAAAGCACAGAGAATAATGAAACAAGCACCTGTGTCCACCTCCCAGCGTTCAGAAATATGCACGTTTTGAGTTATATATGTACGTATTTTAATTAAAAAGAATCACTGCAGCAAAGTTGAACTCTTCCTCTTCCCTTTCCTGCCATGTCCTCCTTGGCTCTCCAAGGCACCATCCTCACAAGTTCTATTCTTTTTCTGTGTTTTCAATTTTGTTTCTGTGTGTTTCTGTGTCCACAAAAAGACTCTTGCATTTTAAAGGTTTGAGACTCACATAGTCATTTTGGAAGGTGGAAAGTGGGCACAGGGGCAGGGGCTGCCACCTTCTGTGTCCCAGGGTTCTGGGAGAGGCCAGGCGCTGGAAGGGTATTGGCTCCAAGACTGTGAGGCCTTCCAGGTCCTCCCTTACTCTCCAGGGCAGCTGGGGGCAGGGGATCAGTCTGGAGAACTTGCCAGAAGAGCTTGGGACTGAGGACCCCTGCCCTGCAGTGCAGAGGAGATCAGGGTTGGGATCCAGAGAAGAGCGTTGACATCCATACCCAGAACTGCAGGGCGCCAGTCCCTCTGCCCTCGCTGAGTGCTGGGTGCCGCGGGGAGACGCTCCCACCGGGAAACCAGAGTCCTCTGGAAAAACCGAATTCTCTAGAGGAAGACCCCATGAGTGGGTCTGGTCCAGCCACCTCGTCACCTCCCTGGGAGGCAGCAAACTCTGCCCACCACTGAGGGCCGAGTTTTATAGAGCCGTCTTCATAACCCTAGTGTTAGGACAGCCCCCCGCTCCTGTCAACCGCTGATCCCCTTTCTGTCTCCGTGGATTTGCTTCTTCTGGACTTTGATGTAAGTGGAATCATACAACATGGCCTTTTATGTCTGGCTTCTTTGAGCATAAAGTTTTCAAGATTCTGTAGCATGAATCAGGACTTCATTCCTTTTCTGCACTGAATGATACTCCATTGTGTGGATGGACCCCACTTTGTGTATTCATCCATTAATGGACTTTTGGGTTGTTTCCACTTTTTGGCTATTGCGAGTCCTGCTGCTTGTGAGCATCAGTGTACAGGTGTTTGTGTGGATGTGTGTTTTCACTTGTCTTGGGAAGATGCCTACAAGTGAAATTGGGGGGGACCATTTGAGGAGCTGCAAATTACTTTCCAAAGTGGCTGTGCCATCTGATATTCGCACTGGGATGGGATTTTTAATTTCTGCCTTTATTTCGCCTCTTACTCCCTCATCTTCCTTGTTACCTAGAATTTCGGTTCCTTACTGTTTTCTTCAACACAAAAAAATAGTTATTTGTAAAAGTCCAATAGAGGTCACAGCATGGCGTGTGCTGTTTGCTCACAGCTGGGTCGTACCCCCTTTGTCTCCTTGTCTGGAGAGAGGACACGGTTAATGTTCTCTCCGGGGCCTGTGGTGTCTTGTGTCTCAGGTGTCTTCATCTTACCCTCACTTTGATGTTGAGTGTCTGGGTTTAGAATTCTGAGTTGATGGTTATTTTTGCTTGGCACTTTGAAGCTGTGGCCCACTGTCACCTGGGCCTGTTGCAAATGAAAAGTCTGCTGCAAGTTTGTTATTCTTTTATAGGTAAATATATTTTCTCCATAATAGCTTTTTAAATTTGTCACATAGTAAAATTGACTTGTGATGTTTCTTTGGCTGCAGCTCTGTGAGTTTAAACATGTGTGGACTGAGGTAAGTACTGCACTGATCAGAATGCACAGCAGCTCCGTCATCTCAGAGCTGCTGCCCTCTTATGGTCACCCACACCTGTAACCTCGAGAGCTGCTGACCTGTTCTCCATCACATACTTTTGTCTTTTCAAGAATGTCGTATAGATGGAATCATCCAGTATGTAACCTGAGACTGGCTTCTTTCACTTAGCAGAATGCCTTTGAGATTCAAGATGTGTGTATCAAAAATTTGTTCCTCTTTTTTTGCCGAGCAGCGTTTCATTGTACGGATGGACCACAGTTTGTCTGTCTGTACACTGTACACCTGTTGAAGGATATTTGGGTGGTTTCCAGGGTTTTGCAGTTATGAATAGTGCTGCTGTGAACATTTGAGTACGGGTTGTTGTTGAGCATAAGTTTTCATTTCTCTAAGGAGTGGCATTGCCAGTCACAAGGTGAGTAGTTTAAATTCATGAGAAACAACCAAACCATTTTCCAGAGTGGCTGCCATGGTCTGAAAGTTTGTGTCCACCTCCTGCCAAAATTCACATGTTGAAACCTAGCCCTTAAGATGATGGTGTTAGGCGGTGGGGCCTTTGGGAGGCAATTAGGTTGTGAGGGTGGAGCCTCATGGATGGGATTTGTGCCCTTGTGAAAGAGACCCCAAGGAGCCCCCTCACCCCTTCAGCCATGTGAGGACACAGCGACAAGTCTGCCACCCGAACAAGAGCCCTCCCCACCGTGCTGGCACCCTGATCCCCGACTCCAGCCTCCAGAACTGTGAGGAATAACATCTGTTGTCTCTGAGGCCACCGTCTGTGGTTTTGTCACACAGTCTGGCTGACTGAGACAGTAGCTGTACCCTTGGCATTCCCACCAGTGCAGGCTGCAGACCCTGTTGCTCCACATCCTCACGAGCACTGAGCATTGTGTTCTTTGCTTGCTTGTTTTAGCCGTTGTAACAGGTGTGTAGTGGTATCTTGTCTGGTTTTAACACTCATTTCTCTGATGTGTAATGATGTTGAATATCTTCTTTGGTGAAGTGTCTGTGCCTGTCTTTTGCCCATTTTTTTTTTTTTAATGAATTTGAGCCCATTTATTTATTTATTTATTTATTTATTTTTTCCCCAAAGCCCCAGTAGATACTTGCATGTCATAGTTGCACATCCCTCTAGTTGCTGTATGTGGGACGCGGCCTCAGCATGGCTGGAGAAGCGGTGTGTCAGTGCGCGCCTGGGCCGCCAGCAGCGGAGCGTGCCACTTAACCGCTAAGCCCCATTTTTGCCCATTTTTAAATTGGGTTGTCTATTTTCTGTCTTGTTGAGTTTTGAGAGTTATTTGTATATTCTGAATACAGCTTCTTTGTTGGATATGTAATTTATAAGTATTTTCTCCCAGTCTGTAGCTTGTCTTTTCATCCTCTTAACAGTGTTTTTCAGAACAAAAGTTGTAAGTTGTTCTTGTTTGATGAAGTCCTGTTTATCAATGTTTTCTAACACGGATGTGCCTTTACAGAGTCATGTCTGAGAATTCTTTGCCTAACACCACCTAGAAGGTATATTGTTTTACATTTTACATTCAGATCTATGACCCCATTTAATTAATTTTTGTATCAGGTGTGAGGTTTGGGTCTAGGTTCATTTTTGTGCATATGGACAGCCGGTTGTCCCAGCACCATTTACTGAAATGAATGTCCATTGTGTGGCTGTGCATACAAGTCTAGCCTCTCCCTTCTCCAGTGATTTGTTTTTGTACTTTCATAAGAAGTTCATTTGCCACGTTTGTGGGATCTGTTGTGTTCTGTGGATCTCCGTATCTCTTCCTTCACCAACACCCCTCTGTCCTGATGATTATGCAGTGTAGTATTAACTCAGCTGGGGTGAGTCCTCCAACTTGGTTCTGGTTTTTCAAAATTGTTTCAGCTGTTTTTCTTCTTTTGCCAGTACGTACAAATTTTAGAATCACCTTATCTATATCTACAAAACACTCTGCTGGGATTTTGACTGGAATTGCAGTAAATCTATAGATCAGTTTCGGGAAAATTGACATCTCTGTTGTCTTCCAATCCATGAACATAATTTGTCTCTATTTAGGCCTTTGGGGTTTTTTAATCGTCATTTTGTAGTGTTCAACGTACATATCCTCTACATGTTTTCTTAGGTTTATGCCTAAGCATTTCTTTGTTTTTTGAGCTATGGTAAAAGGTGTTTTTTAAATTTTGGTTTCCAATTATATACTCCTAGTGTTTAGAAACAAAATTGATTTTTGCGTGTTGTCTATCCTGTAAGCTTGATAAATTCACTTATTGGTTCTTGGGGGTTGTTGGATTTTTTTTTTTTTTTTGTAGATTTTTGTGGATTTTATGCATAAACAATCATGTCATCTGTGAATAGGGACAGTTTTATTTCTTCTTTTCCAGTCTGTATGCCTTCATTTCTCTTGCTTGCCTTGTTCCACTGACTAAGTTTTTTGCTATGAGGCTGACTAGGAATGGTAAGAGTGGACATCTTTGCCTTGTTCTTGGTCTCAGGGAAAACATTCCCTCTTTCACGACTAAGTATGGTATTACCTGTAGACTCTTTTGTCAATGCCCTTTATCAGGTTGTGCAAGTTCCCTTCTACTCCTAGTTTGCTGAGAGTTTTATCATGACTGGACGCTTTGTAAAATGCTTTTTCTGCATCAATTGATAAGTCCAACTGGTTTTTCTTCTATACTGTTGATATGGTGGCTTGTGTTGAGTGATCTCTGAATATTGAACCAGCCCTGCATTCCTGGAATAAATCTCAGTTGGTCGTGGCATACTATTCATTTTATATATTGCTGGATTTGGTTTAATAATATCCTGTTGGGGATTTTGCATCTGTATTTGCAAGGATGTTGGTCTATAGTTGTCTTGTTTGTAGTCTCTGGTTTTGGTATCAAGGTTATGCTGGTCTTATACAAAAGGAGTTTGGAAGTGTTGACATTTGTTTGTTGAGGTTTGTTTTATGACGCAGGCTGTGGTCTATCTTGGTGGGTGTTCCACATGCACTTGAGAAGAATGTGTATTCTGCTGTTGCTGACTGGAATGTTCTATATATATCAGTTAAATTCAGTTAGTTGATAGTTGTTATGGGTTGAATTGTATCTCCCAAAAAATATGAAGTCCCAACCCTGCTAACTCAGAATATGATCTTATTTGGAAATCAGGTCTTTACAGAGGTAATCAAGTTAAAATGAGGTCATTAGTGTGGGCCCAATCCAATATTACTGGTGTCCTTATAAAAAAGAGAGATTTGACTAGATCAGATGGACTTAATAGATATATATATAGAACATTCCATCCAAAAACAGCGGAATACGCATTCTTCTCAAGTGCAAATGGAACATTCTCAAAGATAGACCATATGTTGGTAAACAAGGCAGGCCTCAGTAAATTTAAGAAGATTGAAATCATATCAATCA